AATAAATAAAAATAAATATATATCCTTACAGTGTACGGTTACTATACTGTGCTTTTTAGCATTGTGTCTATTTAAGGTGGCGTTGGTACTGCCACGAGAAAAAATACTTATTTAGCGGTTATTGGCAATAATCTCATTCTGCAATTCAACCTACATACTTCAGCATGTTCTTAATATAAAATTATGAAACATTTGCCGGACTATGGGAAGGTTGACTCGACAAATAGTGAGTTAAATGGTTTCCCTGATTAGCTTCCGCTTGCGCTTTTGGAACATTCAGTGGTAGCTAATTGGAGTCTGCCTAAAAGGAGATAAAGTCCCTAATTTTTACGTTCTTGTCGTGCAGGCGTATTATTTCTAACCATGTTTTTTCCACCTTTAATGTAACGCCTAAACGCTTTTCTAACAAGGAAAAACGTTTTTTGTGCGCTGTGAGGTCGTCTGATCTCACTGCGTCATGGGAAGCTTATAAATCGGCGGCAGATGCTTATAACATAGCCATCAAAGTGGCCAATTTAACTCTTTTAATACGCACACCTACTTCATGTGGTATCAAAAAGTATTAAGCAATTTTGTAATGTTGTCGATGGACACAAAACAATTGTTATCTTGCTCACAGGGGTTGATATACTGTCGACGTTCCAAGAGAGCACTGCGGATCTGCTTTAAAGGATATTATTGCACAAACGTTCGTTAATGATACTAACTCTGATTATCCAATGTATCCAGATTAAGGTTTTGTTTTTACGAGTCATCTTGATTTTGAATACGACTGGAGTCTAAAACCGATCGATAGTTTGACAATACCTTCTTCGTGTGCTGTTAATATTACCATTCTATTTTAGAAGTATACGAAAATTACATCTCAATGTCTTCCCAAAATTTCCGAACAGGTAAGACGCTTGGGTGTCTTACCAGAAGTTTGTAAGATAAAAAAGGTGGTTCCTCTTTACAATCAGCAAACATACTCCTCTAGTCGCCGACCCATTTCTTTAGCTAGCACGCCCTGCAAAATTTGAGAGTTTATCATTTACTTTCGTTTTAATTTTTGAGGATCTAATTTTTTTTTTATATTTCGAAAGATGGTTTTCGCAAATATCTCTCCTGCGAAACTCAACTTCTCACTTTTACCTATTATCTACTTTTATTCTTGACCGTGGATCCCTGGTTGAGTGTCTTTCTCAATTTTTGCAATGCTTCCAGTAAAGTTTCTCCCAAACTTTTACTTTTTACACTTTACGTACTTAATATAAAAAGTAACATTTGGTACCGAATGAAATGTTCTCTAGCTAATCGATGTTTCTTGTTATTGCTAATAAATTAAACGTTTTCTCAGTCTTGTTACATGCTGTGTTCTCCAAAGGTCATTTTAAAAACCCATTTCTCTCGAAATGATTAAAAAGCGCGACAGGACAACGGACACAGAAGGAGACACAGACAGAGTGTACAGAGGAGGTTGTGTACTCCGTGCCATTATCGTGCGGGCGTCATTATGTGAGGCAGACTGGTCGCTGCCTAAATGAAAGATTGAGGGAACACCGTTTCAACGTTGATGCCGTCACATCAGGACAGCTCGGCGTGCATTGCCGGGATTGTGGGTGTACTCTCATTTTCACAGGTTGTACAGTACTAAACAAAAACAGAACAAAACCACAAGGGAAGTACTGGAGGCTCGAGAAATTGCTAGATTAGGGCTGCAATATGTCAGCGCAGCCTCTTTATCGTTATCCGAGAAAGAATTGCAGTTTCTTGACCAAGCATGACTATAGTTTCAGGTGGGTGCCGATGAGTGGTGCAGGAAGTTTAGCCTTTTTATGTTTTTTAAAGATTTTTACAATGTATATTTTATATCTTCCTAAGTTCTTTAAATTATTATGAATCACTCACTCGCCCAACGTTCTATACCTCGCCATTTATTTCCTCATTTACATAAATTACTTAACAATGTGAGTATAATCATCAATTGGTTTATTCGCTGATGATAGTGTAATTTATCGTGAAGTACTAACCAATGAGATGCTTCACATCTTTAAGGCGATCTGCTTGCGGTTTTGGATTGGTGTGATTTATGGCAATTGTCCTAATATGAACAGATGTAAAGCTATCAGTGTTTCTCGTCGAAACACGTCTCCATCGTCATATTCATTATGTATCAACCAACTCCAATGTGTAGGTTTTACAAATATCTTTGTGTTTACGGAGCTTGTAATGTGCCATGGTAAATTTTTACCGATCACACTATCGCTAACGCCAATTTTATGCTCTGGGTATCTCAAACGAAAATTTACCTCAGCCCGTTGCCATTAAAATTACTTTAGTACAGACCTATAGTTCGATCAAAGCTTCAATATGCAGAGCAGCGTCAACCTGGGACTTCGGCCACATGACACTGGCGACTAATCTCGAAGCTCTGCAAAATTGCGGAGCACATTCTTTTTTGTTGTTTTAACAATCAGCGCGCTGCTAGTGCCCCAACTATGAAAGCTTCATTATCGTTTCCTTCCTTTATTTAACTCCTAAAGTATTTCTTTCTTGATTTTTTTTAAAATGAATCATCCGAACGCTTCACTAAAACTAAATAATTTCTTTGCCCCTCTACATTTCTGCACGAGCTGATCATAATTTTAGTCAACATAGCTTATTGTGAAACGTTAGCGACTATCGACTACATTATATCAAGATTGTTATCGGAGTGAAACTGCCTTTCAGCACCTCTGGCAAACATACCACCCATTGAACTATTTGAAGTGACACTAAGTAATTTTCTTTGATAACATACCAAAATATATATTTAAACATAAATGCTTACTTTACTTGTATTTTTGATGTGTGAAGTTTTTCTATGTGAATTTGTGTGCCCTCCCTCTCTGTAATGACGTATGGGCCCTGAGCGTATTAAAAATAGATAAATATATTAATAAATAACTACGTTTTTCCACGCTTAATAAACTACATCTAAGTTTCTGCGTGTCGCTTCTACCATACGTAATGCTATCATGTCAACGACCACTGAAATTGTAAAAATTTCAATGCATCGCGTGATAAATGCCAATCCCACTCATACATCTTTGTTTTGGTGCACCATTTTGATTATTTCCTAATGTTTCAATTCTAAAGTTGAGGCTTGGGCGAGTTTGTACATACTTCGGAATTAAGAACAGCTTTTAAAAAGACAAGGACCAGACGAAGAAGTAACACAAAACTGAAGATGTTTGTGGTGTCTCGGGATGGAGACTTGAGCGTGGTGATCTTGTGAGTCAAGTCCTGAAGCCGGGGGCCGGCCGGGGAGCTACCGGGTCCTGGAGGAAGTGGAAGGGCGACTGCCCGAGCTCCATGCAGCCGCCTGGTGGTGGAAGGTACCGGACAGGCCCACGCGTGAAGCGAGCTGGGCTAGGTGCCTCGTTCAAGTCTGCCGAAGGTTCGGTTCAGAGTACCGCTGGCATACCCAAAGCAGGAACTAAAGGTTCGCCCTGACATAGCACAGCCCGCATTAGTTGCAGCTAAGGCCTGGTGCCCCTCAAGTTTAACGAGCTGAAAGTTGATCAATTTGGAATGTAGGTTTTGTTCGAAATGTGAGGGATGCTTACTGGACGCTCCTAATGCTTCTTATAAGATCATCTTTAAACATTAAATTATAAATTTGCAGACAATGTTGGAGCCAACGCCTGCGTAAAGGATGACATTTCGAATCCTCTTGAAAGCAAGCACGTCACGCACAAGAGCAGACTTTCAACATTTCCGGGGAGAAGCGCTGAAAGAGCAATATACTCTTGTATTGTTTTGCATTAATATCATTCCGACTTCGGCTATTCCCGTTATTTGAGTTTGTTGGTGCAAAGTCCGGCTTGGATTTTCCCAGGTAAGATTTAATTTGCTTGCATAAATACTCTTTTAAAATGCGATGATTGAACTAAGGGTGGTGGCGGTGTCATTTCAAAATATACTGTATGAGCACATCTCTATATATCGCAGCAAGCTGTTCCAAGTATGGCCTTAGCTTTCGAGAAGATATAATTTGAGTGTCGAGCGTTTATGGTTTGCCACCAGATAAGGTCGCTTTAATATTCTTCGCTTTCGTTCATTGAAGACAAAACGATGTTTTTTATTTAATTTCGAGCACGGTCTATGCATTCCGCCACGATTAATGGGGTAGACCTCATCAAGTTTCATTTTGTGTATTTAGAGTGCAAAACTGCAGACTAAGTAGTACGAAGAAGGATAAAATAAAAAGCGTATTTTGTACTTTTTTATTGTTTTAAACCCGATAGTTAAGTTATTTTGCCAATAGTCTTAACATATACATTTTATATTCTACCCAATCAAATTGAGTTTTCTCCAGGATAATTTTTTTTTAATTTTTTAATAAAACATAAAACATGAAACCGACTCTTTAATGACGGTATTTTCGCCCCATTTGTAAAATTTGTTTTAATTTTTAGAGTGAGTGACCCGAGTACTTGCAAGATGAGACAGAGCGTGTAGAGTTAAAGCTCGCAACGTAAAATAGCAATGATTAGCTTCACTTGAATGCGCTGCGTTTGTGCCTTTTATGTACACTGCGCGACAACGTTAGCACCAACAAGCCGTCGGAGTTTTTTTACTTTTTTAAAATAAAAAGGTGGTCATACAAAGTTTTCTTTAACTGGAAAGTCTTCCATTGGGACACTCACTTCATCTATATAATTTAACACCCGGCAATATTCTTTTCAGGACACTATAAAAAGCGCCAATGTCCTGTTCGCGCCAATATTGCCAAAATTGTCGCGCAGTGTACTGAGCAGCGGTGTAAGTGCCTCCATAGCATATGCAATTGAGACATCAGTTGACTGTTCGAATCATTCAATGGCTATACCGCCCCATGATAGTGGAAAGTTGATACTCTGTATAGTTAAACAGGCTCAATAGTGGTGAATACTTAGAACAGCTTTCGCATTTTTGATTTTCAAATATTAACAAACAATACGATTTATTAATTTTCAGTTAGCATTTTGTGCCGGAGGATGGACGAAACATTGCCAAGTATCACAGTGTTCTTACTCCTTGTGTGCTCATCCGTTCTGGCGAGAGCCACGCCATGCAACAGTTCTGATGATATGTACAAAGAAGGTATAATCTACGCAATTTTATTTGATTATATTGATACGCTCATAGCCACGTTTTTAGAAGCTTCACGGTGGTTGCATTGTACTGTATGGCATTTGTTTCTAGCGAGATAAACCAATGACGATGTATCAGCACTGTTTAAGTGATCTAACAACATCTATACGGCACGCAAGTTAGTCTGCTCGTTCGCACCTCTTGCGTTTGTTTGCCCCCAGATGCATCCACGTGCTTTTGTTTCCCAATGAGGGAGCCCGCTTGGCTGCATCGCGATCGTATGCTGCCGGCACGTTCTGTATCTTCTCGTTTCATTGGCGTGTCGTTCCTTGCATGCCGGTGTGCCTAAAACGCCTCCTGGAACACTTGCGCGCCGTACTGTGATGTGCGTTTTATGAAGAATTTCTGGGTTATTTTCAAATTCAGTGCATTCTAAGTGTATGTGAAAGCTGTCGCCTGAGTTTTTTTTTCTCATTAGTACAAAGGTGCTGCCTGTATGCAGCTTTTTCAATGCATTTTCTGGCATTAAAAATGCTAGTTTAGTGATGAATTCTAAACCCTGCGGTGATAATGGTATGAAGTATAATATTGAAAGCAGTTACTGGGACGACGGGTACCTAAGTTGAACATGGTGAATGAAACACGCATGATTGATAACCATGCTCAGGGGTCTAATTTGAAGAGCCGAGTATAGGCTGCCAAGCCCTGAATCGGTCATCATCTTAAACTTTACGCTATAAGTCTTGATAGTGAAGGTGTAGTTTCTATTTAATTTTAGGTTGGTTTTCTTGGACATTCAAACTTGGCCTAAAAAGAGACAAAATAAAACAACAGGAGAATATCATGAGGGGCACTCAGAGATCTTGAATCCTGAATTATTGGCAAACACATACTACAAACCGCACAATTAAATGCACATGAAGGGTTGCATCAGCGGCAGGTGTCGGTGGAAGCTACTAAAGTTTACAATGATTATTATTCCGAACTCAAAATTAGGGGGCGAGGGGGGGGGGGGGGGGGAGCAAACCTGTATTTTAAGGGCCGTACTTAGGCTACCAACTTGAGTTTGCTATATTCTAAGTTAATCAATTTTATAAGTGAATACCCCAATCCAAGTAAACATTAAAGCCTGTTTCTTTTTCAGCTCGCGAAGATTTAGGGTCGTGTCGCTTCTATGCCGCCATTTTCGTGGTGCCCAGGGTCATAATAAAAACGTCCCAGTTATCGCCCTCGTCAATCAGGTCTGACTTCCCAGGATCCAGTGAAAGTCAGTATGCGTCGTTGCGCTTGCGGCTTGATTACAGGCTACCGTGATATGGGTTCCTGCAACTGCAGGCTCCACCGTGCTAGTTGTCCTGCGGGGTCCTCGAAGTTGGTAGGTCAACACAGCAAGAGATGATCGGTGACTGCTCGGAACAGGCGTCAAGACAGTGAAGTTTGAAACTTAACGACTGTCCAGATAACAAAGAAAAATTATTTTTGTTTGTAACAAATTTGCTTTCCGCTTTTGATAATGCCCGACTTGCATATGCGATTGCGGTTTCGGTACCGTCTGACCTTTCTACGACTTAGGTACACGTAGCAGAGCGCGTTGGAAGGAGTACAGTTCACACGGAAAGAATAAAAGCACAAAAATTATACGAGGGACAGACACACACGGTTCTTTGAATGAAGACTTAGGTACACGCAGCAGAACTGTGTATGTCTGTCCCTCGTATATTTTCTGTTTTTTTATTCGTTCCGTGTGAACTGTACTCTATCCAACGCGCTCTGCTACGTGTACCTAATTCTTCATTGAAAGAACTGTGTGTGTCTGCCCCTCGTATATTTTCTGTGTTTTCATTCTTTCCGTGTGAACCGTCCTCCCTAAGACCACTGCCCCAAGCTTTGTGTTGAATGCCTTCGTATGCATATTCGTTTTGTCGTTGCGGTCGAGATGGCCGAGTAACGGAAGTGCCTCTAGACGCTGCTTTACCTCGTAGAACGCATTGCTTTTGGTTTTCGTTTTACTCGAAGGCCACGGCATCTGTCCTCAGGTGTCGTGGCCTTCGAGCGACGAATACTTCGACTCTTGTTGAAGGATTGCAGAGAAGGCCACCAAAGTGTCGCCTTTCACTCGACGCACAAGGACCCATAGGTTCTTTTTTTTTTTTTTGTGGCAAGAGGGTTGGCGCGGGCGCTCAGGCGTAGGACATTCTTATTGAATCTTGTGACACTTTCAGAGGTGCCCGAGGTCCTCGCTCGAAATATGCATCTTGACTCTCAGGCATGTGTCGGGCGAAAAACTCCCGCTCAAGCTCGTTCCCTAAAACGTCCCAAACCAGTGCGTTGCAGTTTCTGTTTTGCAGGCGTACGTCACTCTTCCGTCTACCCTTTGCGGCGACAAGCGCACAGGTCAATCCAGTCCTAGATAACTCGCCCGCTGCGGAGTGTAGAAGATAGCAAACTGACTGCAGATTTCCTCGAACTCTTTATACAGGCCTTGCTGAATCTTCAACAGCAAGAGGGAGGAATCGCACGGCACGTTGTTCATTCGTACACGAGGTCAGTCGCCAGTAAGCCATCATCAAAAATAGTCGGTCCTTATTCGTTATCCGCGCCGTGGAAATAAACCCGGAGATTATATCACAAAACAACAACAACAACAGCAACAACAACAACAATAGTGCCGAAACTAGAAATTACATAGATTAGCGAAGAAGCTAAATGTTAGTAACGAAGAATCTTCAAACCGATAAAGAGCGGCTTCTTCAAAAACTACAAACAGTACGAACAGGGGTGAGACATATTTCAACAAACATGGATCAGATTAAAAGAAAAGACATCGAAGAAATGATAGAACACCAACATTTTCTACAAGCTGCGCTCTCGAATTACTACTTCGCCATTCGACAGTATGCGAGTGATGATAATTTTGTGTGGGCGTTTGCAGATGTGTTGGAGTACGAAGAGATCATTATTACAAATTTGAGAAAAATAAATATTTTGAATTCCGTTTGCGGAAAAGAAACGTCACAAACTCGAGATATGAAACGTAGGACGTGAACGCATAATGGACAGGGAAGTTAAGAGGATGGATCATCCATTAGCAATTTGTCGCTCAACAAAACAAACAAAATTGAGTTGCAAAAAAGTCAATATATCTTTTAAGCTGGAGTCCGCTGATACTGGACAAAGCAGGCATGATTTACAGGTGCTTACAAGCGAACCGACAAGCCATGATGAAATAGCGTCACGAATGACAAATGATGACGCGATGAAAACTGAAGCAAACTAACAGTCTCATGGGGCGAACTTGTACCCAAAACAAAATAAAAGAAAAAGGCTAGCCTCGCAGTCGTCGATGGCGGCAAAACGGTAGGATCGGACGCTGGGGCGAGACTCGCTTTGGCTCGCCACGCGAAGCCAATAATGGGGTATCCACACGAAGGAGAAATCCGCCCCTTTCCTCCGCGGGGCGCGCATCACGTGAGACATACGTCATTCCTTTTTGACGCCTCGCGGCGCCGTTCTCCACCGAGGCGGAGGCGCGGAGGCTTCGTGCTGTCAGCACGAAAGCTCCGCAGGTGCACGTGGCGGAGCCGAGGACGGAGTTTCCCGGGTTGTTGACGTCACGACATCCGTCCGCGGAGTTCTCCTTCGTGTGGATACCTTATTATGTACATGCTCAGGCCTCTGGAAGAATCGGCGTAGAAGGTTCGACGCGTAGAATATCCGGATCTGAAATAAACAGCAATGTTCTCATATTCACCAGAACGCGACATTTCAGAAATAACAAGAAGGCACGTCCACCCCCAGGTATCGAACCTCGAGCCCTGTGCGTAGGAGCCAAGGACGATAACCATTCGGCCACGGGCGCATTTTTTTCTTTATTGGACACGTTTGTACAGTTTATTAAACACTCATTCGTCACTAATGCATGCGATGTCAAGAATTTACCGCCCAGCCTCTTGGGGGTGCACTAAATTTCCTTCATAATTAGGAGATCCTCGAACAGTGGTGCCCAAACGGGCAATCATCTTCAGACCGACAGAACACTGATTTAACCTGCGCAACCACCTCGATGAAATACCCTCTTACTGTTTTGAGTTCTACATGTGCATGTCTGTGGCCCATACGGGATTTTCATATGGAATAGAGGCCTAATGCAAGAAACATGTCGTAAGCACTTGATCGTTCTTGTGTATAGGAAGGTAACGAATCGTTAGGGGAGTAACACTTAACTCTTTCTTCAGCGTCTGCTGCAACACGTCCCAGAAGAACACTGGACGAGAAAAGACTCATCACTTTCCTGTTAATAACATTGTTGTCACTTATGACTGCCACAACAGCGAGTCCAGCTTCCTCAAACTTCATAATGACTTCCTTAAAAATTTTGTGGAGCTGTTCAGCATCAATTCTTGCGACTAAAAGTATGTGCGCGACGTCCTTGTGAGGCGACAGAAGTGACTGCGTCATGAATACATGGGCAATTTTTGCTGCTTCTGTGGAATTTCAAGCGGTGCCAGTTAAGTCCACTCCTTTGTATTCAAAAGATTGTCGGATGTGTACTTAGTCAATCATGAGGGTCACTTTATGCTAATGCGGTTTCGTTAACCTCAAACGTCTTTTTATGTAGCTCAGGAACCCATTTTCGTTTTGTTCATTTGCTGGGCTGATGTCGAGCGAACGGCACACACGCATTATCGTCGTGGACGGGTGCGGAAGAATTGCTTTTCCAGAACGCCTGATGAACGCATATGCGTGTGGGGAAATCGTATACACAAGACTTGCAAAAACTACAAGCTCTGCTGAGTGCCGAAATGTCCTTTTTTGTTGCATGGGCAGCTGAAGTTGCTCTTGAATGAACCTAAGCACTTCAAGTTTTTCCCCAGGGAGTAGATCATCACTGATGAGGTCCTCGAGACAGCATCAGCATCATGGTTGCCGTAGTTCTGTGCTCTTTTTCATCCTGTGGTGCGGTCTTGATAGATATCATGCTCTCGAGCAGTGTGTGGAGGGTACGCATG